CTTAACTCACAGCAACCTCAAACTCCTGGGCTCAAGGGATCCTCCTGCCTCAGCCTCCCAAGTAGCTGGGACTACAGGCATGCACCACCATGCCCGGCTAATTTTTTCTATATATTTTTAGTTGTCCAGCTAATTTCTTTTTATTTTTAGTAGAGACGGGGGTCTCGCTCTTGCTCAGGCTGGTTTCAAACTCCTGACCTTGAGCGATCCTCCCACCTCGGCCTCCCAGAGTGCTAGGATTATAGGCATGAGCCACCGCGCCCGGCCTGCGTACAGTCTTAAAGCCACGGCATGTGGCTCGTGAGACATCCGAGGCATTTAGTTGGCCCACAGCGGTTAGTGCCCGTGTGGTTTCTTAGGCCCTCAGAGTCACTCTGGTTCTTTGCTCCCAGAGGTGGGGCGCCCCTGAGATGTGCCCTGGATCAGCTGAAAGATCTGGAGACCCTGAGCCTTCATAATGCAAGCTAAGCTACATGATAGGATTCTAGACTACCGCCCGTGTTAGGTACGCGTGGGAGGGTTCCCGCGAGCCGTCGAGTCACATTGTCTGCAGCTGGAGGAGGTTTTAGCTTCTGGCAGGACCATCGTGCTTCGTGCCCACCGAAGCCTGCTGTCACTCACAGGAGCGCCCGTCTCCCAGAGCAGAGCTCTAGAAACGAGCAACTGCAGAGCTGAGAACAGTGGTTGAAACTCTTCCGTGTCCTTTCAGCAGTTAGCACTGTTCGTTTGCTTTTATCCAGTCTTCAGAGATCCCCAGCCACAGCTGCTGGGAAGAATTTGTGCCAGGAGGAAACAAAGAAACCCCTCTTTGCATCTGTTCTCAACAGGAAGGTTCACACCACTGAGTCTCATGGCTTCCTTTCATTCACTCCACAAATACGTATCCAGCCCCGCATTGGTGCCAGGCACGGTTCCAGGCACCGGGGATTCAAGAGTGAGCTGCAATGCCAATAATCCCAGCCCTTGGGCAGCCTACGTGCTAGTGGGAGACAGACTATCAGCGAGATCTTAAAGAGAAAAATAGGTAGGAAGTCAGATCGTGGTAAGTGCTATGGAGAAAATTCAAGTAGGGAAGGGGGTTGGGGCACCTGGTCGGGCGGGAGGTTGCTTGTCCCACCCTTGTGGGTGACAGTGAAGCCGATTTGGGAGGCGCGGGAGGGAGGCATGGGCGGGAGGAAGGGCTTCAGCACGAGGGAACAGCAATGACAGAGGCTGACGTGTTCTGGAACAGCAAGGCCAGTGTGTCTGGAGCAGGGGGAAGAGCAGGGAAGGCCGCATAGGGCTTCAGGGGCCATTGCGGTGACTTTGATCTTGACCCCGTCAGAGATGGGTCCGCCCACGAGCGTTTTCAGCACAGAGGCGACATGATCTGACTTTACTGCAGCGTAATTTACATACCATACGATCCACCCATTTGAAGTATATAATTCCACGATTTTTAGGAAGTGCACAGAGTTGCGTAGCCATCACCCAATTTTAGAACATTCCCATCACCCCAGAAAGACACCTCGTGCCTATGACTTATACTTTGAAAAGATCGCTTTGGCTCCCATGTTAAGAATAGAAAGAAGAGGTAGAGCAAAGAGTGTTGGAAAGAAATGTTTTCCACGGCACGTGTGAATAGCAAAAAAAGTTCTAAGGGTGGGGAGTAAAGGCGTTCCTGGGAGAGCTTTGCTTTTTTAACTACCGGAGGTTTGGAGCTGCCTTAATGCTAAAGCTATAACAGGATGAAAAGCCTCCAGCTCTGACATAACAGTGGGGCATTAATAACATCTAGAGAACTGTTTAAAAAATGAGACATGCAAGCATTAAAGCTGTATGTGTCTGTAACTTCCAAACTCGAAGGTGATCCCTGCTCTTTTTTACATAAAAAGTCTGAACCTCAAAGCTGTAGGACGAACTCAGTACCTTAAGAATTCACAAGAAGAGGCCGGGCGCGGTGGCTCAAGCCTATAATCCTAGCACTCTGGGAGGCCGAGGCGGGAGGATCACTCAAGGTCAGGAGTTCGAAACCAGCCTGAGCAAGAGCAAGAACCTGTCTCTACTAAATATAGAAAGAAATTAATTGGCCAACTAAAAATATATAGAAAAAATTAGCAAGGCATGGTTGGCGCATGCCTGTAGTCCCAGCTGCTTGGGAGGCTGAGGCAAGAGGATCGCCTGAGCCCAGGAATTTGAGGTTGCTGTGAGCTAGGCTGACACCACAGCACTCTAGCCCGGGCAACGGAGTGAGACTCTGTCAAAAAAAAAAAAAAAGAATTCACAAGAAGAAGCGCCGATGGTAGCAGTCAGAACAAACCCCAAGCATGTTTTAGCAAACACTTGTCCCTGCAGCGAAAAGCCAGGCAGGTCGTCCCACATTGATTATTACTAAAATGTTCAGTTCCAGTTTTCTCTTGCTAGTCTCAAACAGTAGGGACATCCTACACGGAGCCCACGTCACGATCGAGGGATTGTCTGTCCCCGTGGAAAGGGCCGGCGTGACACTAAAAGTGGTACCTGAGTGAGGATTTTCTGTATTTTACCCAGAAGGCCGAAATCTGGTATTATATGGTTCAGGAACCAAACAGTGGACTTGGCATTTTTTCCTTTCCAGCCGCGACCAAGTGGCCAGCAGTGTCTGTGTCCTAACATAGGTCCCCCCCGTCCCTCCCATGCTTGGGGCAGCAGGTGGCACTGGGCTCTGACCACCCCTCCGTGATTCCACCTCGGTGGGCCTAAGGTGATCCTTGCTAACTTCCCATAGCTAGCACCCGTGCGTTACCGAGCGCCTGCCTCATGGCTCACTGCAGGCTGCAGCTGCACCGAGAGCACATCCCCTTTACAACCCGAGAGGCGTGGCAACAGCCTGGGGATGAAAGGAAGAGGCCTGGTGAGACAGAAGCCAGCTCACCGCCCACCCTGGCTTGGTTTGGCTGCATTCTGGACTGTTCCATGAGGTTCAATTGCTAGTCTCAGTTCAAGGTCACGGGCAACTAACTACCTATTTTGGTTTTCCTGACTGCTTTCCGCTGACCCTAACAGTCGCTCAGGAATGCTGCTATTACCACTTCTGGCCACAAGGGGTCCCCGCCCTCCAGGCGCCGGCGCGTTCCGCGAGGCGGGATGGTGCTGGGCAGAGAAGGCGCCCTGAACCGCCAGCCCCCAGCGCTGAGCTCAGTGGTCAGCCCTGGGCCCACAGCCATTGGGCACCCTGGGGGCAGCGATAAGCCACACGTGACCCCTGTGTGTGTTGGTACCGCAAACAGCAGAGAGAACGGCCCGGGGACTGGCAGCTCTCCTGTCGTCTAGGTTCTGGTCCCAGACTTACTCTCACTGGCTGTGTGACCCTGGGCAAGCCCCATCCCCTCTCTGAGCCTGTTCCTTCCTCTCCCAGGCGAAGGGGTTGGAATGAAACTGATGTCTACTTCCAGAGACAGCCTCGCCAGCAACACAGGCACGTGAAACATCCCTTACACGAGGGGTGTCTGGGCCACCCTTGCTATTCCGCACAGCTGTCACGTGTTTAACACTCGAGTGTTTAATCCTCTGCCAGATCATCATCTCCCTGGAAGCTAAAGGAGCGAAACCAGAATTCCGTGTCCCTGCATCTTTCAACGTCAGCGCCAGAGGAGAGCTCAGGGAGCTCGGGACCACAGCGGTCCTCAAGCTCCTGCTAGCCTGGAACCCTTTATTCACACGAACTCTGGCAGGGGCGCCCAGATGGAAAGCAGCCGGAAGAGAGGAAGCCACCTGCCCTGTGTCACTCAGCAGGACAGCCGCAGTGCTGGGCACGTTCCCCGGGAGTGAACTGAGTGTGCAGGTTCCCTGATGCGAGGGGACTCGGATCCTAAGAAGGAGTCACAGGCAGGGGCCTGGGGGACCAGGGCAGGGGGCATGCCCACTCCCACTGGGCAGTCCCCGTGCTGGGGTTTTTCCCACACCATGACTTGATCCTCATAAAGACCCTATGAGGCCAACAGCATTGTCTTCTTTTAGAAGAGAAGAAGAGAGAAGTTACATGACTTGGCTCAGGTCACAGCTCAGAAGTGGCTCAGCTGGGATTTGAACCAGTGTCCAAGCCCATACACTGGCTTTCCTGGTGGACAGAAGTTAATCACTCACCCATTCATTCATTCAGATTTTATTGAGCGTCAACTCTGTACCGGGCACAGCTGGGCCCTACCGCAGCTCGAGCACCTGCCCTCACTGAGCCTCAGCGTTAGGGGAGGAGACAAACGATAAACAAAGACAGGCGACAGAAGGAAAACGCAGAGGAAGGGGATAGTGTGTGGACAGGGGGTGCATGGGCACCTCTTGTTTGTCTAGAGCAGTGTTTCCCCAAGCCGGGTCTATACACGCGTCCGACTGTGGTTTCCAGTCTGGAGCAAGATAAACGACGTGCTGCGTCTCTGTTTCTGTCCTTACAGGACAAACAGACTGCACTTTGAGTAGCCCCGGCCTCAAATACTTCCGAACCCTTAGATCAGTGCAGCTGACACTCCCTGCTCCAGGACCCACGTGTCCCACATCCTCACCCCCGTCTTCCCGCCAAGCTGCACAGACCCCGGGAACCCGTTGCAGGGGGAGGCGTTGGTGTCCCCCGCCTGGCGTGTGCAAGGGTGCAGGGCCTGTTAGTCCCTTCTAAAGGAATCCGAGTCCTCGGCTGGTGTGAGCTTCGTGGGTGGTGGGAAGAGACCTGGGTTCCAGCTCGGGCTGTGTCACTAGCCAGCCACGTAATCTGGCAAATGCCTTTGGTTTTCCTTACCTCCAAAGTGGGGACCGTGATGCTTTTGAAGGAGTGGATCAGGCACGCCAGGGGCTTGACCCAGGGCCTGGAGCTCAGTAAGCAGAAGGCGCCATTACTATGTGTGCATTTGCACTTGTGTGTGTGCCTGTGTTCACGTGTGCATGCATGTGAATGTGTGTGACACTTGGCTCCTCCACTGCAGTTGGAGAGTCCCTCCTGGGACCCACTGTGGCCAGGGACACTGACGGCCTTTTCCGGGTTCTTTGTCCAGATTGCCAGGGGATCATTGAGGATGTCGTCCTGCTGGGAGCACCCGTGGAAGGAGAAGCCAAGCACTGGGAGCCCTTCCGGAAGGTGGTGTCCGGGAGGATCATCAATGGCTACTGCAGGTCTGTGCGCACCGCACGCTGGCGGGGAGGTGACAACACTTACCGCGCACCTAGTGTACCTGAGCCCTGGGCGGGGCGGCCCCCTCCCCCTGTCCCCCCCCCTTGCCCAACCTAATCATCAATGAGATAAATGCAGTAAGTGAAATCAGTAAGATGCCATTTATCACCCATCAGATTATCAAACATTCGAAACATAAACAACATTTAGTGTTGGTGAAGATTTGGAGAAATGGGCAGCGTCATACACTGTAGGCGGCGGCTGAATTTAGTAAATCCTTTCGGAGGACGGTTGGCAGTATCTGTCAGAATTTGTAATGTGCCTATTTTCTGACCCCACAAATTCTGACTTCTCAGATTCTGCAATACCGGATACTCACACACGGCCATGCAGGATGTACAGAAGAGACCACTGCAGCTTCGTTTGTAATGAAAAATTTAAAACTTTTTCACTTAAAGTGAAAAAAAGCAAGTGTAACAGTTTATATACTATGATCCCATTCAGGAGGGAAAATATTCTGCATATGCATGTATGTCTATAAGTGTATGTGTATAAGTATACAATGAGGTATAGTAAAACCATGACAAACAGAAGAGTGGCTGTCCCCAAGGAGTGGGCAGAGATTGGAAATAGGGAGAACAGAGACTTTAATTTGATTTTGCTTTTAAAGTAAAGACAGTTTTGGTGGGGCATAGTGGCACACACCTATAGGCCCAGCTGCTGGGGAGGCTGAGGCAGGAGGATAGCTTGAGCCCAAGAGTTCAAGTCCAGCCTGGACAACATAGCAAGACCCCATCTCAAAAAAAGCAAGTAAAATAAGCATAGTTTTTAGAAGAAGAAAACAAAAAAGAATGGACAAAGACTTTGATGTCAAACAGTCCTGGGTCAAAGTCTTGGCCCTGCCATTTACCTTTTGGGTGGCTTTGGGCAAGCAGCTTTCCTGAATCTCAGTGTCCCTGCCTGTAAAATAGGAATAATAGTCCCTCCTGCTCAGGTGCTCTGGGAAGATTAAATGACATTATGAAGCAAAAGGGCTGGCACTTAGTAGGTGCCCAATAAATGATAGCAGCTATAGTATTTATTTATTACTGGGCATATTCACATAACAGATGATTTTTAGGTACTTTTTAGAAACAGCAAAGGGAGCGTATTAAAATTGCATATGTGCGGAGCGGAAGCAGCAAGATCTTATTAAACCCATCTGTTCTGACGAGCACCTGAGGCTAATTGCTTGGTTTGCAGTTATTTTATGAGGCCCTGGGCCATCTTTCTATAGAAGGAGAAGGGGGGAGGGGGAGAGAGAGGAAAGAGGAGGAGGAAGAGGAAGAAGAAAGGGAAGGGGGGAGGGCACATATAGACCAAAACAGCAACTGTCGCTCCTTGGCTAAATCAAGCACCAACCAGGGCTCCAGCTTCTCGGTCTCCAAAGGCCTTGTTGTCGCTGTGAACATCCTTAAATGTTCACAGGGTGGGACAGTGAGAGGGAGGGAATTCAGGCCACCATGGCCAAACTACACATTTACAAATGTGTAACTTAGGTTGATAAAGCTCTGCAACTTCACTCACTTACTTGGGCTTTCTGTGAACCTTCTGGAAGCTAGCTGGGGTGACTGGAGCTGCTCCCTGCCGCACCCCTGAGGGAGTGAAGCTCAGAGAGGGGCAAGTGACTCGCCCAGGGCCCCACAGGCAGAGCCAGGTGTGACCTCAGACCTGTCTCCCTCCACGGGGAGAGGGGGGCTCCTTGTAGCGCAGGGACGAGAGGCCGCCCCGCGGGCCCTGCTCCAGACCCACGTGGGCAGGGGTGGTAGAAGGAGCAGGGAAGGCTGCCTGCTGGGCCCCTCAGACCATGTGCTCTGTGGCCAGTGCTCACAGCACCTGAAGAATGGGCGGCAGAGAGGCGGGTTATTTTCTCTGGGTAGTGCGGGGGTGTTTGGCTGGGGAGGCTGCAGGCAGTGGGGTTTGCAGCACCCACGGAAGTGGAGGAGTGTCCCCGGGACTGTCCCCTGCCTGGGCAACCACCCTCCCGTCCCCCGGGATGGCCGAGGGCAGGAAGGGCCTGCAGGCTGGGCCCTCCAGCCACTGATGGGCCACCCAGACCCCACAGTTCCACCCCTCCCTCCAGGAGGACCCGACCCCAACCCCTCCTTTCTTGCTTTTCCCGGGAGCCCTGGCCCAGCCCCTCTGCTAGCTGGGGGCAGCGCTCCTGAGCAACATGCTGACTTGTCGAGAGCTTCATCCAGTGTCTTCATTCATTCATTCATTCATTCACTCACTCACTCACTCAACAGATATCCCTCCACTGCACGCCAGACCCTGTTCTTTGCACTGGGCACGCAGCAGGGAACAAAACAGACGGCCTTCGTGGAGCTGCCACGGCACTCGTGCAAAGCCCTGGGCACGTGCCTGGCACCCTGGCCGGGCTCTGCAAGCGTCCCTCCGCAGGGCAGTCAGGGGCCCGCCCTGTCCCGTCCCGTCCCGTCCTCTGCTGTCCCGAGGCTGACGTGGGCCCTTCTCCGCAGGGGAGACTGGCTCCTGAGCTTCGTGTACCGCACGTCGTCTGCGCAGCTGCGCGTCGCCGGCCTGCAGCCCGTGCTGCTGCAGGACAGGAGGGTGGAGAACGTGGACCTGTCCTCGGTGGTGAGTATCGGCCTGTCCCTCCCAGGGCTCTGCGTTTGCCCAGGGGCGGGGCGGGGCGGGGCTTGGTTACCCCAGCCCAGTGACACCTGGCCCCAGCCCGGTCCACCCCAGAGAGGGAGCCTAAGCTGCTCCTTGCTACCAGGCGCCTTCCTTGGGCGGGACCCTGTCCCCGGCCCCTTTGCACACATCATCTCTAATCCTCACACGGCCTATGGGGCAGGCACTATCATCCCCATTCCACAGATTAGGAAACTGAGGCTTCAAAACGTTCCTATCACACAACGAGCAATGAACAGGACTGGACAGGAACCTCCAGCGCCCACGGTCTCGCCCCCAGGTTGCCACCCTGCCCCCAGCCCGCAGTCCTCCCCGAAGGCTCCCCCACAGCCCCCCTCCCAGATCTAGTCGGACCGTCTGCCTCTCCCAGAAACTCGCAGAGCACACAGGATGCAGGCGGAGGGCTCCGGGCCAGGCCGGGAAAGGGTGGATCGCGGAGCCCGGGCCCTCCTGCCCAGACGTCCACATCAGCCTCCACGAGTCTGCGTTTGAGACGCGTGCCCGAGGGTTCTCGCGCAGGCACTGGGCTGGGCTGCAGGGGCAGGTGGCAGGGCCCTTGCTGGGAACGGGTGGGAGGGGACCTGCCTGGCAGCCACACACACCCAGCGTGAGTGTCTAGATCACCCTGTGGGCCTGAAGGAACCTGCCACACGCCTGGCACAGGGAGTTCACAGCTCCGCCCTGCACCTGGCACAGGCGTTAGCGTCCCCACCGTGCAGGTGGGGACACTGAGGTCAGTGGGCTGAGGGGCTGGCCCAGGGTCACGCCACTGGCACGTGGTGGGGCAGGACTCAAACCCGGGTCTGAAGCGGATGGACGCAGCCCCACTCGGGAAGATACGAGAAGCAGTGGGAGAGGGCCCCTCCCTGGGCAGGGGAGGGCAGGGAGCCACAGAGACAGCCACAGGCTGGCTTGGGCCAGTGAGAATCCCTGCAACGAGAGGGGCCTGTGAGAACAAGATCTTTGGTTGCAATTATTATTATCAAGCACCGATTGCCCAAGTGTAACCCAGTGTCTGCGTAATAGCAATTTGAGTGGTGCCACGCTGCCTGGACAGACAGACAGGACCCCTCCCTGGGCATCTGAACCCCCCGCCCAGCTTGTGCAGCCTCTGAAGGGCTCTGGCTTCTCCCCTGAGCATCAACAGCTGCCCGCCCCGGCCGCCCCCGACTGTGCCTTGCAGATAAAGCGGGGTGCCTGGACCCACCAAGACGCGCCCCAGCGTGGCGCAGTCTGGGCAGCACGTTTGTTGAGACCCAGCCAGGCACTGAATAACGCCTTTTGGGGACTTCTTGTACAAAAGACACAAAACCAAAACTTCGCCAGGCACTGCTGCCCTGCCCCTGACGTCCATAGGCCCTGTCCCTGCCCGGAGGTCGCCTGGGCCTGTCACTCGGCCTGTCACACCAGCTCCCTAGAGCCAGCTCATCCCTTTTGTGTCTTCACCTCCCAAGCTCCCAGGACCCTAACACGCAAGTCCTCACACGCACAGCTGAAGCCCCCGTGCCTTCCTAGCAGGAAGCCGTGGGGACTGGTGTAGGCCCAGGAATAAGAGGAGTTTCTAGACTCGTCCATTCATGGGCCCGACTGCTCCTAGTGAAAGAGTCGTCACAGGGCAGACTGTGCCTGGAGCCACGGGAGGAAGCCTTTCGGACCACCTTATCCCAGTATTCTTGGCTCATACAATGCAAACCTCACGACCCCCCCACAGGGCAGATGTTAAGCGTCCCCAGGTTACAGATTGGAAAACCGAGGCTTGAGAGAACAGACTCATAGCCAGAGAGTGGTAGACCCAGACTCTGACCCGGGTCCAAAGCCTGTGCTGTCCACTCCCCACGGCAATGGCGTGAGCTGGGTGACAGGGACTCGGAGTGATGCCTCCTGGCCCGTGTCCGGGACCCCCATCCTGTTTGAGGGTGGCTGCGCCCCCAAGGGGGGAGAAGGAACAAGGAACCCGGGCCCCAACAACCCGAAAAGGAAAAAACAAAAGGAAAAAAAACAACCGAAAAGGCCCTTAAAAAAAAAAGTCCCTTTAAAGCCAAAAAACCCCCAAAAAAACCAACCTCCGGCCGGGGGGGGGGTTGGGGGGAAAAACAACGGTAAGGCAACAAAAAAGCCCGGCCTCAAAACCCGACCCCGCCCCCGGCCTGGGGGCCGGGGGAACCTGGGCCCAGTAACTAAACCCCCCGGGCCCCAGGTTCCCCAACCGGGAAAAGGGGGAAAACAACCAAACCCCCGGGCAACAAAAGGGAAAAGCCCGGGGCAAGGGAAGGCCCCAACGAAAGCCAAGGCCCCCCCGGCCCGGCCCCGGCCACCACCAGCAGTTCTTTTGCCTTTGGGCTCCCCAGACTTCTGCCCCCCCCAGCCTGCGTGGTGGCAGCTTCCCAGCTCCTGCTGGGTAACAGCTCTTCCGAATTGCAGATTACAGAGCAGCTTCCTCTCCTGGCAATTAGAGGTGATTAGCGCTGCTCTGTGCTGCCCTCCCGCTTTCCCTGACAGCGCACTGTGGGGGGAGCTGGCCGCCCCTGCTCTGAGCAGAGACCCGCAGGGCCTGTCTTCTCCCTGCCGGACCCACGGCGTGGTGGCCTTCGGGATCATCCCACGGGCTGGCCCTGTCGCAGGCAGGGGACATCCCCGGGGTGAAGGGAGCTGCCCTCCTGCCCTTCAGTCTCCCTCTCGGGGTCGGGGTCGCACCAGGTGGGGGATTCGCCACGCCAGGGGCCAACTCACGAGGCTTCCGGGGGGCAGAGACCCAGCCCGGGGCAAGACGCCTCATGTCCCAGGGGAAGTGCCGGCTGGCTTCTAGAACTTCACCAAGGGCTTGGCACAAGGTAGGCACCTTGTAATAACAATAGCCGATGTGCAGCGGACACTGCGTGCTTTACACATGTGTCATTTGATCCTCTTGCCGGTCCCGTGAAGGTGTGATAATGACCCATTGTGCAGATGTGGAAACTGAGGCAGCAGGAGGTGCGCTGGGCTCCAACCCACTGCCTTTGTGTTGCCCGCATGCATGCACGCATCGCCGTGTGGTGGTGGCTGCGGGTGGTGACCTGTTGCACGTATGAGCTCACTGAATCCTCACGGCCCGCCCACGTGGTGTAGTGTCTTTATTAGCCCCATTTTGCAAATGAGGAAACTGAGGCCCGAGAGGTGAAGGAACCCAAAGAGCCCTGGAAGAGACGGGCGTGGAAGGAGTTTTCGGGGCAGGCAGAGGCGGGTGGTGGCGGCCTCCGTTTGAGCAAGTTGAAGTGTCTCATGAGGCAGGACACGGGAGGTGCAGGGACCCGTCCCTAGCCGTGCGGGCCCAGTCACTGCGGGGCTCCCACCACGCAGGGCTGGCCTTGGGGGCGAGGGGGCTTGGAGGTGGTCCCTGCTCCCCCAGGCACACGGTCCATCAGAACCTAAACGGATGAGCAGGGGGTGACGACGGGGTCACTGGCTGCTGTCGAGGGTGTCCGCAGAGGCTGGGGCCCCAGGCAGGTCCCTACCAGCTCGGGACGTCAAGGAAGGCCGCTCCACTCCAGTGGCGTCCTGTGCGGACCTGGGCAGCTGGCAGCTGTCAATCAAGACAGCCAGGGGGAGGGGCAGGGGCTGAAGTCTCCATCCAACGGCAGCCATACCAGAACTTTCCACCGCTGAGAAGAGGCTCTTTCCCGGGGCGCCTCACCCTGGCTCCCATCCCTCCCGCTAGCTGTGAAACCCGAGCTCTGCCAGGGAATGCTCCGCTCCCCTCGGGTCTTTGTAAAATGACAGCTCAGGAACTAGGGTTGCCTGAGACCTAGACCAGCTTGTCACCAAGGAGGGCCAGAGCTCTGTGTTCTAGGGCAACTGTGCAGTGGAGTTTCCATCTGGTATCAGCTGCAGCCAGGGGCCACAAACACCTCCTCCCTTCCTTCCTGGCCCGTTTCTAGCCCTGGCACCAGCCCTTTACATTAAAAAGGTATAGAGAAACAGTTCTTGTTTGCCCTTAGGCAGTTACCATTTGTCTCTGTGGGTCTGAAGCTTCTGCTGACTGGAATTCAGATGTGATGGCTGGAGCTTGAGCAGCTATCTTGGGCTCCCAAATGGATCAGCCCAGCTACCCTACTACTCTCCATCCCCCCTTCTAAGGAAACTAAGGTAAAGAAACTCATTTATAGTGCACCTGCTATGTACCAGGCACTGTGCTTCACGATTTGTAGGTATTATGCTCACCAACCCATTCAGGTGGGTATCACTAACTCAAATTGGGTAACATCTCTTTAAAAGTGTTTTGGATCATCTATGAAACATAATAATAAAAGATAGTGTGTACTGAGTTCCTGTGAATTATCAGGCCCTTGAATATCTCTTTGAATGAGAATTCAAAGTCATGAGTCTTTCGTGTGGACGGGTTAGGGTTAGGGTTAGGGTTAGGGGAAGATACGGTTCAGGAATTGTAAGGACCAGCCCAGAGCCGAGGCTGGAATGCCAGGTTCTTTCTAGTTAGTGCTGTGCAGCCACTAAATACGCACCCCTCTTGGGAAGGACACCGGCCCCACCCTGACCTCCAGCCTGAGCGCAGGGACCTGGAAAGCCCCTGAGATGGGTGTGTACACACGTGCGTGGCCACTGTTTCAAAGCATCAAGGAGGAAAGGAACAGGAGGTAGGCAGATGCTGGCGGTGAGAAAATAACAAAACTGTACAGGGAATTATCTTTTTGTGTTCTTGAAAAATCATTTGAATAACGCAGTGTGATTTGTGATTCAAATGGAAATGCAGACGTTACCAGCCGAGTCTTTTTGTGGTTTGCTGAGATTCCCAACAAGAGCCTCCCTAGTGTTCTCCTGTTCTCTTTTTAAAAGAAACCCTTCCAAACAGCGTCGTCTTGTGCTTGCCTTTGGCACCGAAGCGGGTCCCCGCCAGTGGCCGCGAGAGGCAGGGGCTCCCGGGGGCGGGGGGGGGGGATCTGTGCCAAGCAGCCTCTGCAGACGGCTTCTCCCGCACCGCACGCGGCCTTGTTCCTCACGCACTGCGTGTCCTTAAGCAAACCAGCATCCCTCTCTGGGCTCTCCCGTCCTCATCTGTAAATGAGAATGGCTTTTAAAGCCACCCCCAACTGACTTTCTATGACAAGAACAGGCTGTAGCAGCAGGCCTGGGTTCCCGTCCCAGCTCTGATGTGTTCTAGCCGTGTGACCTTGGCCACGTCACTCTACCTCTCTGTGGCTCAGTTTCCTTCTCTACAGTTAGCAGCCGGCACCTGTCAAAGGAGTAGGTCCAGTAAGCTTATTGCCACAACGTATCAAGGACCTACTGTGTGTTGGGCATTGCCCGTCATTACAGTCAGGCATCAGGCATTCTGGTCACACCCAACTTTTCATTCACCGACACATCCCGACACAAAAATGGGGACGTAGGAAGGGGATGGGCTCTTCCGAGTTCTCAGCCTTTGTCTTAGTCAAGATCCAGGCCGATATAACAGAGGCCCCGCTAAGTGTCTTAAATACATGAAGGTTGATTCTGTCATATAAAAAAAACACCAGAATTGGCAGTTTAGGGCTGGTATGCCATTCCACTGTCTTCAGGGGCCAAAATTCCCTCTGTCTTGTGGCTTGTTCTGCCCTCCTTAGTGGGCCAACTCATAGCCCAACATGGCTGCTCAAGCTCCGGCCATCCCATCTGAATTTCAGCCTGCAGGAAAGAGGAGTTGCAGAGGGAGGAGCACTCCTCTTAAAGAGAATTCCAAGGAGCACCACATCACACTACTGCTTCATCTCATTGGCCAAAACCAGTCACAGTGCCAGCCCTAGCTGCAAGAGAGGCAGGGAGTGTGCCCAGCTACAAAGTGGAGTTCTTATGACTGAGGGAGAAGGGGGAGTGGATTGTAGCCGGCGCCTTGCAGTCCGTGCCTTGGCTCTATTTCCAGGGAAGTCCTCACAGCCACCCCTGGGGTAGCCACTCTTGTCCCCGGTTGTACAGCTGAAGCGACTGAGCGCCGGAGGGAGGGTGGGCGGCAGAGCCCTCGCACAGCAGCCAGAGCTGCAGCCCGGAATGAGAACTTCCTCCCAACTTCCCATCTCTCAGGAGGCTCCTTCCTGCCCCCAGAGGACCCACAGCTTTTGGAGGAACCTCCTCCGTCTTTGTTTACTAAACTCTAGAACCAAGAGCGTCCCCAGCCCCCTCTGGAAGTGCGACCCTGAGAGCTGGGGTCCCGGGTTTGGGACCGGCCGGCTGAGGGCAAGGGGAGGCCCGGGAGCTTTGCCTGGGGCCCTGGCAGGGCCCGGCCCCCACCGAGGCCCTCACTCACTGTCCTCCTGCAGGTCAGCGGCCACCTGGACTACGCCAGGCAGATGGACGCCATCCTGAAGGCGGTGGGCATCCGCACCAAGCCGGGCTGGGACGAGAAGGGGCTCCTGCTGGCCCCGGGCGGCCAGGCGGCCTCCGCATCACGAGAGGCCACCCACCAGGCGGGGCCCACCCAGGCTCCCACACCGGGAGGCACCGACCCCAGCCCAGGCCAGGCGCCAGCAGGGCCAGACCAGTCTGAGGGGGCCTCGCTCCCCGCTGCTGCCAGCTCCGCGGAGAGCGCCTGCGTCTGCAGCCATGGCGCGGGCCCCAACCCGCTGGGCTGCCCCGACTGTGCACACGAGACCCAGGGGCCCTGCCCAGGGCTGGACTGAGCGCGGCGGGGGCTGAGCCGTCTTCCCAGATGGCCGCGTGCGGCCCACTCTCACGCACGCGGGTCCTCGCGGGACTCTGAAGGTGTAGGTGGATTTCCCCACGTGTCTTTGCTAAGGTGAAGGAATTGGAACTGGAAGGAAGGGGGCCTTGGGGACAAAACACTCCCTCCCTGAGCAGGCCGGGCCAGACGCCTGCGGAGTCAGCCAAGCACAGGCAGAGCCAGGGACTCTGCCCAGCCGTGGGCTTCCTGCACTTCTGCCGCAGCTGTGGGTCTGGAGCCCGGGGCTCCCATGCCGCCCCTCCCCTGGCCTCAGGAAAGCTGGGTGCCCTCCTGCCTTCCACCCGCACTCCAGGGCTGCCCCAGCCCACCGGCACCACCACCCAGCACCAACGGAGCAGGCACGGGGCAAAAGGGGCAGCTTATTCCTTCTGCCCTTAGGAGAGCCAAACACATCTGCCCCATACAGCCACGCAGGCTGTGCACTGCACAACTGCAGGGGCATCACTCACAGATACGTGTGAGTGGCGCCCTCCAGAGTTGTGCGACGTGAATACGTGCTGAATCAGCATTCAGTGTGGCTGGGATCCCGGCCTCCTGGCAAGAGTAAATTATACGGGGAAGGGATTTCCTGTAGCAGGAACAGAGGTGGTTAACAATACATAACAACAATGGCTGCCGCTGCTTGAGTATTTACCACGTTCCCAGTGCTCCCCTGACCTTCACAATCACCCTATGAAGTGGATACTATTATAATCTGCATTTTATACTTGGGGAAGCTGAGGCTCAGGGAGATCAGGTGACCTGCTGAGGGTCAGACAGCTGGTCAGTGATGGGGCCATGTCTCGCACCACGGTTAGTTGCAGCCAGGCGCGGTGGATCACGCCTGTAATCCCAGCACTCTGGGAGGCCAAGGTGGGAGGATCGTTTGAGGTCAGGAATTCAAGACCAGCCTGAGCAAGAGCGAGACCCCATCTCTACCAAAAATAGAAAAATTAGCCAGGCCATGATGGCACGTGCCTGTAGCCCCAGGTACTCGGGAGGCTGAGGCAGGAGGATTGCTTGAGCCCAGGAGTTGGAGGTTGCTGTGAGCTAGGCAGACGCCATGGCACTCTAGCCCAGGCAGCAGGGTGAGACTGTGTCTCAAAAAAAAAAAAAAAAAACACACAGTTAGCTGGACTCCAGAGCCCGAGCTTTTATCCTCTGTATCCCTGTATCCACAAGAGCCTCCCTCTGCTCCCTTCACCGTCCCTGAATGACAGGGCCAGAGATACTGCTCCTCCATTGTGCAGATGGGGAAATCAAGGCCTAGGCGGAGGCAGTACTGATAGGCTCAGGGGAGGAGGGCAAGAGGAATCAGTCATAGAATACAGGGGCTGGATCTCTGCCTAGGCGTGTGTGTGTGTGTATTTGTTTGTTCATTCAGCAAGTATCTATACAAGTCCTGCTGCTGCTAATCCAAACTGCTCACGGCACACGTGGAAAACTGAGGCTCTGAAAGGGGAAGTGATTTTACTGAAGTCCCAAAGCACATTAGGAGCAGAATGTGGACAGAACCCAGGACACCTACACCCAGGTCTCTTCCCACTACACCAGCTGCTTCTAGAGCCCCAGGTGGCCCCTTGATCGAATCCAGTCTACACCACAGCCACAGCCTTCAACTAGTGTTTATTGAGAGTCCCCTCGGGCAGTCTTGGGGGACAGGGGAAGCCCCAGCAAGCACCATGGCCCCTCTGCAGCCAGCGGCCGGGGCCGGAGTTGAGTCTAGTCAGCACCAAGGAGAGCGGTGGAGGACCCCCTGGGAGTTTGGGTTGATGGAAATGGGGGGACTGGAAGTTTAAAAAAAAAAAACCCTCAGGCTAGAAAGGGACCTATAGCAGGTAAACTTTAAGGATCAAAAGTTCACCCACCCCAGCCCCCCAAAAACAAGGTCCCTGTGCCAGAGTGTGTCCACCTGCCTGCCTGGTGGCCCCACACCAGGGACAGCTCCTCTGCTGACCCAAGTGACCACCATTCCCATTTTTCTCACCCCGGGGAAGGCCAGGAGGTGGGCAAGGGGCTGGGTGTATCCCAGCTGTTCCCTGCTAGGTCCAGGGGAGAGGAAAACCTATCCCTGAGGTTGAACAAGAAACTGCCACCTGCCCCTCTGCCCCCAGGAGAGACAAGTGCAGCAGCTTGGGGGCTGGGAAGGTCCCTGAGTGCCGGGGCCCCTCCCGGCATCCAGAGCGAGGGGTTGGGGAACCAGAGTGAGGCTGTGGGACTCTGGGTTGGGGCCAAAGAGGAGGCAAACGGAAATGGAACAGTGGGAACAAACAGCCCTTCCTGGCCCGTAGCCAGAGGCCAGGGCTGGGCGGCCAGGGGATGGGGCAGCAGAGCTTGCTGACTGTCTACTGCACACGTCTTATTCTCAAGACAGTCCTGCGAGGTAGGCGTCGTGAGCCATGTCACACGTGGGGTAGCTGAGACTCAGAGAGGTTGAGTAGCCTGTGCCAGAGGAGTAGAGCAGAGACTCGGGTGTCCACCTGACTCCCGGGCTCCCGTGTTCTTCTGTGCCGCCACACACATCCCGAGGAGCTGGCACATCCGAAAATCGGCCAGCGCATCACTCTCGGGGTCAAAGACCATCTGCACCAGCCCGTCTCACCTGTAATGTGCACACGATTCCCCTGGGGACCTTGTTAACGTGCAGTTCTGATTCAGCAGGTCGGGGATGGGCAGAGATGTGCATTTGTAACAAATTCCCAGGAGGTGGCGATGATGAGGATGGTCATTAGCTACACTGGGGTGGTGAGGGGCGCGGCGAGCACTGACCACGTCTGCAGATGGGGGTGTTCCCTCCCATCGCCTGATAGAACGGGAAAAGGACACGATTGTTTTCATCCTAACCTGAACCGAGAGGTCCTTCTCCCCAACACTGAGTCCTCCGAACGGTCCTCTGCATGCACACGCTACATTCAACGCCGGGGCGTCCTACACAAAGCTGCATCCGAGTCCGCCGTCATCCCTCCAGGAAAGGGGCTGGGAGTGGGCAGGAGGGGCTGGCCCTGTGTACGGGCCAGAGCTCAGCGGAGACCCGCAGCCTCCTGCTCTTAGCCAAGAGCTGGCCCGAGGCCCGGGGACTTAGTTCCAGCTAATCCAGCTCCGAGCCCGGGTTAGTTCGTGGGGGAGCCGCGTGGATGCAGCCGCAGCTCAGGCTCTGCGGGATCGATGTTGAAGAAGTTGACTGCAGCAGTGGCCCTGGTGGGCAGCGGGGGGTCCCAGGTGGCCTCCCCAGGCAGCAGCAGCTGGGTGGTGAGCTGCAGGCCTGAGGACCCGCCCGAGCCGGAGCCCGAGTCCGAGTCCGGTGGCAGGGGCAGTGGCAGCACCTGCTGCAGGCTCAGGCCCGGCCGGGCGCCACTGTGAGAGGTCCGGAAGGAGGGGGAGGCCAGGCTGGCCCGGCGCTCCCGGGGACAGCGGGGACATGGCAGGAACCTGCCCAGCGCCCGCTTGAAGTCCCTCATGAACAGCGGGTAGATGATGGGGTTCATGGTGCTGTTACAGTAACCCAGCCACGTGAGGATGTCGAAGAGGCCTTGGGAGACGCAGTCGCACACGGCCTGAGGGGACGGGACGGGTCATGCCTGGCCCCGGGGCAGGGACACAGCCCCCCCCAACCCCAGCCAGCTGGGACAAAGCAGAGGCACCATGCGAGGCAGCCACCCTCCCCGCTCCCCAAGCCCGGGCTGGGGCTCAGGCCGTCCCCAGCAAGGCCTGGGCTCACCTGCCCCCCGCTGTGACATTACCTGGGCTATGTTGGCCACAAAGAAGGGCAGCCAGGTCACAAAGAACATGCCCAGAAGGATGCCCAGCGTCAGGCTGGCCTTCAAGGCCTTCCTGCTGTGCTTGGCGGCCAGACGCCTGCTGTCAGCCGACTCCACCCCGGGGCGTGGGGTCCTGGGCACCTGCAGAAAGGAAGGCCGCGTGAGGCAGGTGAGAAAGAGCCCCAGTCTGACTGATCCTAGCCACAGGCTGAGCCTCTGTGCTAATTCTACACTGAGCCCTAGTACAGCGATAAACTGAGCCCTGATCCTTGACTGAGCCCCAGCTGGAGTCCTAGACTGAGGCTGGACATCAGCGACAAACTAAGTCACAACCGCAGTCCCAGGCTGAACCCTGACACCCACCACCCAGCCCTACGTAGCCAAGGTCTCCAACTGAGCCTCAGCCATGGACCTCGACTGAGCCCTGACCCTGGCCCTGACCCTGACCCTGACCCACAGTTTCACAAGGAGCTCTAGGAAGTGCAATGAGGCACAGCAGCACTACCCCAAACTCAAATCAGATGGTTTGGAAGAACCACCATCCCTGGAAAGAACACGCAGCACAGGCCACAGCGAGCCCCAGCACCTTGCAAAGCCTTTGCGATCAGCTGCGATGGGACAGTACTTGAAAAAAAGAGGACCCGTTGCTTCCCAAGGCTCGGCGATTTTTCTGCATATGAATTCTCTTCATGTTTGGGAGGAATGGTCTTGCCCGTGGGATTACTCTTGTGTTCCACAAGACAGAAGTGCATTTTTGAGGACACATGCACAACAAGGCAAATGCTTGCAATTAAGTCTTTTATAGATTACAAGGGAGGCTGGTGACCTTGATATTTGACAACTCCATTTTGCTGTGGACTGGCAGGCTTCTCAGTTCTCAGGAGTGGATGGAAAAGGAAGAGAGGGGAGGAGGGACAGGTGGAGAACGAAGCTGCCCCCCCCAGGAGCTACTGACAGGAGGACGTGGGCGTGGGAGGTTAGATTTTGACTTTGCAAACTGGCAACCAGCAGCCCCAAAACACCAAAAGCCTCTCTGAACTCAGTGCTGCAGTTGTGTTCACTTTCTAAACCTCATGAGCCCTTTGAAAATCTACAAAAAACCTCTCCCCAGAAAATGAAAAGCTTATACATTTTTATACACATACACACAAGAAAAAAAATGTTCTGCACTTCCAGAAGGTTCACAGATTGCCTTGAAGTCTGTGGGTTCCCATCACGAAAGCCCTAGGCATTCATGAAGGTTGGGTTGTGAAGCCCTCCTCTAAATCATGTGTTGCAATCAATCTGGATTTTCGTACATCAGACTCACAAGAAGTGAGATCCACCCATATTAACAACGTAAGTAAATACCAGTGTGCAATGCAATGGTGTGCACGATTCATCGTGAGCTATGCAAAGGGTGTGTGCACCGCCCAGGCACACACCTGGGTTTTGACAGCCAGGTAGGCCCAGCACTTCCTATAGTGCGTGACAGCCCAGCTTAGTTCTTGAGGCAGCCAGAGGTGGGCTGGGTATTGGGAGATGAGAAGGTCAGAGGAGGCAGGAAGGGACCCAGATTCCCAGGCAATCTTCTGCAGATGGAAAGTGGGTGGAGGGGGCAAAGCCAAGATGCGCCAACCCGGGCAGGCGGCACAAAGCCAACAGCCCCACCCACTTTCGCGTGCATGCGCTCTCCTTCCATCCCGGGCTCCTTCCTCTGGGCCGCCTCTGGTATCCGAAGTTGGTGTCTTGTCCATGGTGCTGAAACCCTCAGCTACACACCATCTTTCCATGGGAGCGGGGGTTTCTAATTCTTCCCATGGGAGCGGGGGTTTCTAATTCTTTCTATGGGAGTGGGTGTTCTAATTCTGGAATGGTAGGCAGGGGGCACGGAGCACACCCCTCAATGTGCTTATCTAGGTGAAATCTGGTTACACAAATACCAAGGACAAATTTGCAAAAGAGCAGCCTAAGAGAGGCCCTTGATTTCTCTCCTCTGTCTTGGTGGGGCAGCGTTGCAGAGGCAAAAACTGGGCTTTTAAGACAGGTGAGCTGGCTTCAAATCATGTCTCTACCACTTACTCGCTCTGCGATCTTGAGAGAGCCTCTGTTCCCACATCTGTAAAATGGGAAAAATGATACTCAGCTTACAGAGTGAGGCTATGGGTAGTTAATGCATGCACAGTGCCCAACATAGAGTAGATGCGGCATACATGATAGCCCTGAGGCTGGTTCTGTGATATGCGTGTGAGGTTGGGGTGATTTTGAGCACTCGAGGTCCCTGTCCTTCTGCCAGCAGCTCTGCCCCCCCCCCCAAAGCAGCACAGACGCCAGGACAGATGCTCTGACTCACGACGCTGCGGCTCAGGCTCTGCGACTGGAGGGAGCCCCTCCGCCTCCACCCCACCACACACAAGTCTGCTCCCAAGCCTGGCCCAAGTCAGCAAGGGAGAAAAAGAACATCCGCTTTTCTCTCCTCTTCTAGTTTTTCTGTCCTCCCAAGGGGACTCTATATGGTTTCTGTGGCCCCACCCTGCTCTGCCGGAGGAGGAGCCTCCTGCCTCCCCAAAAGAATCTCCTAAGACCTGCCACACCTTCACATTGCTGCCATCCATGGGGACAGACATTATGGAGGGAGGTGACACTGTCTCCAGGAGGTCCCACTTATCCAGGTTCCCCTCCGCCCCCTGGTGACTTGGGGAGAAAAGAGGGCAGGAGGCAGCCCTGGTCTTGTTAGAGCTCTAGAGCAAGGGGGAATTTGAGGCACTCAGGGGAAACCATCTGGAAGGAAGCTCCAGGGAAGGGAGGGAAGATGAAATGAGATTTCCTCTCTGGTCTCCGTGGGAACAACCCAAGATCTTTCTCCTCTTCTGCCCAAAGAGTTGACTGGAGAACACAGCCAAGAGGGAATAGAGAAGGAAACTGAGGCTCAGAGAGGGCAGAGGCCTTTCCAAGATCACAACTGAACTAGTGCAAGGCCACACAAACCAGAGTGACTTAAAGTCAGCATTATCATCCCCATTTCTTGAGCACTCACTGCACATCAGCATTTGATATGCCTTAAGTCATTCGCTCTTTTCTCAGAGATAGGTATGATTATCCCCATTTTGCAGATAGGACAACTGAGGCTCAGAGAGGCTAAAGGACTTGCCAGGAGTCTCACAGAAGGTGAGAATTGAGTCAGGGACCCATTTCTGGCCCCAGAAACTGCACCCTCCCCACTTCATCATGCCACCTCCACACTCGGGGATGGCATCCATGGGCCACAGACAGGGTAGGGTTAAGAAGCCCCACCACTGTCACCAAGAGCCCTCATGGAGCAGAAACTAGGAGAAACCACCAGCCCCACCTGGGATCCGGCTGACACCAGCATCACCCTTCTGGCTTCTCTCTGCCTTCTAACCATCTCACAGCCCCTCGAGGCCAGGTTCTGTTGTTTGCGTGTCCCTTCTACACGTCCATGGCATGTGGCACTGTCAGAGATCAGCTACCTAGAGGACAATCTGGCAGTGCCCTTCAGCCAGAAATCCTACCTACAGGTCCTTGTGTTCAAAAAAATACCTGCTCACTTGTCTGTACTTGACATAGACAATAACATGTCCCACAGCACTGTGAGTGATGGGAAAAAACTAGAAGCAGCCTAAACGTCCAACAAGAGTGCTCGCATAAACCACGGCACATTCCCACTCCGGAATGCTACCCAGGTGTTTTAAAAGAATGAATTGGCCAGGTGCAGTGGCTCACACCTGTATTCCCCACACTTTGGGAGGCCGAGACAGGAGGATCACTTGAACCCAGGAGTTCGAAACCAGCCTGGGCAACATAGCATGACCCCATCTCCACAAAAAATGTAAAAGTTAGCTGGGCCTAGTGGCACTACCCTGTAGTCCTAGCTACTTGGGAGACTGAGGCAAGAGTATTGCTTGAGCCCAGGAGTTCAAGGTTGCAATGAGCTATGATCCTGACACTCCAGCCTGGGCAACAGAGCAAGACCCTGTCTTGAACAAAAAAAAAGCAGAAAAAAAAAGGAAGGACATTTCCTAAATTGATAAGAGTGTCCCTGGGAGTAGAAAGTGATTAGATGGAATTGGGAGGGGGTGTTTTTCTTTCATCTCCATTGTTGAATTTGTATTTTAAAGTGTACTTACATATTCCCTTCTGTAATTTAAAATCTTTGCTATCATCTAATCATAGTGTGAGGATCACAAGACAGACTTGACCCATTTAAATCCATTGCCTGGTTTCAAATCCTGGCCCCGTTACTAACTAGCTAAGTGACCTTCAGCAAGTCACTTTGCCGCTCTGTGTCTCAGTCTTCACTTCCACAAAATGGCAATTTTTTTTTTTTTAGACAGAGTCTTGCTTTGTTGCCCAGGCTAATGAGTGTCATGGCGTCAGCCTCGCTCACAGCAACCTCAAACTCCTGGGCTCAAGCGATCCTGCTGCCTCAGCCTCCCGAGTAGCTGGGACTACAGGCACGCACCACCATGCCCGGCTAATTTTATATATATATATTAGTTGGCCAATTAATTTCTTTCTATTTATAGTAGAGACAGGGTCTTGCTCTTGCTCAGGCTGGTTTCGAACTCCTGACCTCGAGCAATCCGCCTGCCTCGGCCTCCCAGAGTGCTAGGATTACAGGCGTGAGCCACCGCGCCCAGCCCAAAATGGCAATTATAATGGCACCTACCTCATAGGATTGTAGCGAGGATTAAATAACCTAATGTACAGAAAGTGGGGCCAGTGCCTGGCACGCATAAGTGTTAGCTGTCGTCTTGGTTGTTTACTGTTACTAGTGTCTGGCTCAGCTATCGGATCATTGTGATGCTGTTGCTGGTGGCAGCAAAAAAGTGGTGACTTTTTTTCCCTAGAAAGGCTCAAAGGCGTGAGTGAGCTTCCCAGAAGCAGATATTTCCCCACCAGCAGGAAAGGAGAGGAACGAGCATATATTGAGCACCTTATGTGTGCCGGGTACTTTGTGTATATTATCTCACTGGCTCCTCAAACAGCCTCAGGAGATAAACATCATTCCCTCCAGGCACAGAGAGGTGAGATGCCTTGTCCAAGGTCATCCGGCTTCGATGCCAGGCAGGGCTCAAGCCCTGAGCAGCCAGACACCCAAGCTCCTGCCACAGCCGCAGCCCGGCTCCCCGGCCACCTGG